TTTTATGTATTTTTTTATTTATTTATTTATTTATTTATTTATTCATTCATTCATTCATTCGTTCATCCATCCATCCATCCATCCATCCATCCATTATTTATAATTCATTCATTCATTCATTCATTCATTCGTTCATTTATTTATTTAATTATTTATTTATTTATTTATTACACTTCATCAATGCATAAAGAAAACGAAAACAATATAAAAATACAACGGACAGCAGCGAAAAGGAAGGAATGAACAGGTGACAAGCAGTGTATACCTGCAATAAATCACCTAAACTACTGTCTAAACCAAGCATGTTTTTTATTAATTTTTTCCCTTAAAGTTCATGTACAGTGTATGTATTGTAATATATCGAAAAGAAGCCCATGAGCCTATCTTGAAAAGAAGCCTATGGGATTTTTTCGAGGTGGGCTTTATTTTGAGGCTATTTTTGCAATTTGTGAAGAGGGAGCTTCAATTCGAGATGGGCATCTGCTCGAGATTAAGCCAATTGGGCTTCTATTCGAGGTTTTACGGTATTGCAAAAGACCGGCTAAACAATATAAGATAGATACTGATAAGGAGAATGAGATAAAAATCTTTGAAATTTTATATTTTGCATCACTCAAACAGTTTGCGATTTTGCGTCTTTCATTAATAATGTTGATTGGGATAGATCTGGTGGTCCGAAAATATGGTTTTTTTGCGATGGGCCGATCCTCTGACAAAATCATTTAATACCTCCATGCTTCTAGTAAACGTAAGCCACTTGCCCTGTCTTTGTGTAAACATATAATACCGTCAAATTATTGAGGCGGTTTTGCGTCATAGTTGTTTGTAGATAAGTCTTCACACGCCAGAGAGAGCTGAACGATCTTTCACTTGTAGCATTGGTAGCTGCCATGACCAAGATTACTTTTGCAAGCCGAATCACTTGTGATATTAATCTTTTTTGACTAGTGGTTAGTGTTCTCAAGTAAGTCTGAATATCGGAAAGTGAGCTGCATGACAGCATTACTAGAAAAAATGGTCAACTGAGATTGAAGGTCTTGTGGTACAAAGTCAGTGCCATAAAATTCAGTGATAGCTTGAAAATCAGTAGTGTAATATTTCTTTTTAGTGGCTTTAAGAAGAAGTCCCTGGCATATTCACATGCAGTAAAAAAAAGCAATTCGCGTCTCTGGGTACATAAGTACGTAGCTCCAGATTTAAGGCAGCAAGGTTCTAAAGCAATCTTTAAATGACTTAGTCACAGATTGCCTCTCTTGTTCTTCCAACACAGAATCCGACAGTGTTTGCCCTAATGCGCTGTTAAAATAAACCTTTATGCAATCATTCGATTCGTAGTCTTACGTATTGGGTAATAATAATAATATTAATAATAATAATAATAATAATAATAATAATGATAATAATAATAATAATAATAATAATAATAATAATAATAATAATAATATATGTGTTCTTATCAAATATATATATATATATACATATATATATGTATATACACATCT